GTACCTAGAGACATGCAGCACCCAGTCACAGAAACCCCAGCAGCACTCTCACTTGGCATCAGATTCAAGGCCCCCTGTCATTCCAGTGGACACCGTGGGCCACACAGCCTTTGCCAAAACAGCCTGCTTTTCTACCCACACCAGGTGGTACCTGGAAGCAGCAGGGACAGAATTCTCGGTGGGAGCAGCCCTCACCTCTCAGCCCCTTTAATCTGCCCATGGGCAAGTGGGGACAGTTGGGGGACTTTTTGGAGCCCTGCTCCCCAGGGTGAGCAATGGGACTCCAGAGAGGAAATGGCCATGCCAGAGACTTCTCAGGATCTAAGAGGTGACCAGTGTTCCATTATGGGGATGACAAGGACCCAGAGACATTACCCTTCAGCTTTCGAAAGAGCATGCTTGGGGGGAGAGCTAGGGCCAAGATACAGACGTAACAGCGATTTACTGGTTATTTATGGCACAGCAGAAGGGCAGGGGAGCAAGGGGAGTGAAGCTACATCTGGGACGACAGGTGGAGGCGGCCACTGAAAAAGGCCACAACCGCCTCTGCAGTCAGCCATGGGCCTTTCTCGTCAGGCAGTGGGCAGCCATTTCACTGAATCCCCATTTCCACGGGTTTATGACTTGGCCGTAAAGTGTGGCCCCAGGCTTATGCAGGAGCCCCACCCGGAAACAGACTTCTTGGCTCTTCATTCATAATTATTTTCTTTATGGCTTATTGGATTTTATTATTCCAGAGATGAAGAGTCCTTGTTGGTGCCGGGCAGTGCTGTGGGCCAAGATGCCACAAAGAAAACTGGATGGAAGGGTACAGGGGTGGGGGTGGGGGGCTCTTCCCTGCACCTGGGTCATCGGGAGACTCAGGTGTATCTCTTGCCCTCCCCACTGCCCATTTCAGACCAGCTTTCAGTGTTACTTTTCCTGACTTTGCAAAAGCATGTTTGGGTGCAACCTGCATCCCTTCCCTCAGGTACAGTCAGGACCCCAAGACTGCTCACTGGCACAGGAGCAGCTGAGGCAGAAGAGCCCATCTCGGCCCTGTGTCTCCCCAGAGGGATGAAATCCTGCCATACGTCACCCATTTAGGAAGCTGAGCAAGGCCACCATGGAGTGTGTCCAAGAACTCTACCCAGGTAGGCGGAGGAGACGGCTTTTTATGTGTCCACTCGCCAGGGCCACCAGATGCCCATGCATTTGGTCAAATGCCACTCCCGAGTGAGGGTGCTTGGCATGGGATGGATATCTGAGTCAGGGGGCCGAGTGGGGCTGATGGACTGGCTCCATAGAGCCGAAGGGCCCACTCAACAATCATCAGTTGCCTGCTTGACCGGGACATGGGGTCTTCTCCAGCCCTGGGACTGGAACTGAGACCCCCTTGCAGCTCTCCAGGGCCCCCAGCTTGCTGACCCCTCAGCCTCTGTCATTGGCTCTGCCATTCCGGAGAACCTGGCCGTCACCTGGAGTGTGGGGTCATCAAACCACAACGTGAAGGTAGAGGAGTGTTGCCGGGGACCAGGGTCACCCAGGGGTAGGGCTGTGCTGCAGGAGGTCACAGAAGAGACACAGCTTCGAGATGCCATTGGGGCCACCTTGCCCGCCCTCCAGCTCTGTAACAGTGCTTCCGACCAGAGTCTCACCACCTGCATCTGGGTCTCAACTCGCCCACCTCTGTGCCCTGGGCCAAACCCCCTGTGTGAGGACTGAGCATCAGGAGAGTCAGCTCGGGAAGGTGTGTCGGGGTGGAAAGGCCTGCAGAGGCCTTGTGCCTGGGCAGAATGTGAGGGTTGGATGGAGAGGACAGCCCAGGGCATGCGGGGTGGGTCATGACCTAACAAGGCACAAGGAGGACAGGCAGAAGGCCTTCAAACTTGACCCAGCATGCAGCAGGAAGCGAGCCAGGCGGAGGCCCAGGGGGTCACCTATGACTTCCTGAGGACCCCAAATTTGTGCACAACCAAAGCAGCTCTTGGCATCTCTGCAATTTGACTCTTGCCAGTCTGTCTGCCTTCTCTGAATTAGATGCCTCAGATTTCCCCAAACACAGCAGTAACAAACAGCCGCAGCTGGCATTCACTGAGCACCACTACGGGTCAGCGCTGTGCTTTGCTCTGCAGAGGGTCGGTCTGCCGGCTGTTCCCCAAGCACAACCTCAGCATGCTTCTCCACGCTGTCAGCCTCCTGGGGAGAAGCCATGCATCCCAGTCTCCAGCATGGAGATGGGAAGTCCAATGGATAAACAAATGCTGTGAAGTGTCCAGGGGTGACAGGGGCCATGAAGGACTCCAAAGCAGCACAGGTGGAAAGAGAGTGATGGGGTGGACAGCGACCCCAGAAGCCTCCTGGTAGAGAACCTCCCGGAGTCCCTCCAAGCAGCCCTGTACCCTCCCACCTTCATCTCGGAGCCCCAGACCCCAGGTCCAGCCTGTCCTGGGGAGGGAGTAGGGTTCTTACTTGGTTTCCCCTTTTATATCTGACATCTTTTCTTCACAAAGCCACATGATTCTGATGCACGAGTGGCAGGACCAGGGTCAGTCTGCACCAGGGCTTCTGGAGCCAAGCCCCCTGCCTACCTGTGCCCTTCTTTCCTGACCCTTCCCCATAAGATCGGATGCTGAGCTTCCCCCAAAAAATCATGGGCACAAAGGATGTTCAACCAAGATGAACGACTAGACCCAGAGTCCCTTTAGCGCCAGATGCTTTCTGCTGTTTCCAGATGTTTGGTTTTTGTAACTGGCCTCTTGATGCTCTTGGCTTTGGCCAGAGGGTTTATTCCCACCCAGCCCGTCTGAATCTCCTCCCTGAATCCAGGTCCCAGCAGTACTGGTTGCCAGATGCTCCACAGCACCCAAAGCGCACTGCAGATGTGTGCTGGTGAGCGTGGGGCCTCTAGCCTGACCGCAGAGTCATCTGTAACCTCTGGAATTTGCACATTTAAAGAACTTGCTTGCTACATTAGCGCCTATTTTCTGGATGTGGCTTTCTTTCTTTTTTGTTCTTTTTTTTTCTTTTTAGTTAAGCAGGTTGCTTAGGGCTTTCTAGATTTCAACTCACCCACAAACCTCCAGGGAGTCTTGTTAAAGTGCAGATTTTGATTCTGCCTATTTGAGGGGAGATTCTGCTCTTCCTGCTAGCTCTCGAGCCAGGGAGCCCACTGGAAGAGGAAGTTGGGGGGTGGGGAGCTGGCCAGTGGGGTCTACAAGTGCAGTCCAGCCACGGGGAGGCTCTGCTTCCTGTGTCTGGGGTTGGGCTGGGAGCGGATCTCATAGGGGAGAAAGGGAAACTTCAGCTTTGGGGTCAGGGACCCAGGGGTGGCTCCAACTGTATTTGATGCATCCTCCTCCAGGAGCCAGAGGGAAGGGCAGGCATGCTCCTGCAGGACCTGAGACTCAGCTTGCTGGCCCAGCCTCACCGTGGGGACTCCAGGAGCTCTGAGAGGGACCCCTGCCTCTCTGATTTCACAGCACAGCAAACACCCACATAGCATCTTCGCTCAGCCCAGCTCTGGCCAGATGCTGGCAACATGGGGCCTCCCAGGGCTCCCTGCAAGCTCAGAAGACCTGGTCAACAGCTCCAAAGTTCAGTACCAGCAGGACTGAGTGGGCCCAGGTGCAGCCACTGGCCTGACAGACCCACGGGCTTGTGCTGGAAGAGTTTATTTGGAAATACTTTCAAACTTTATTTAAAACTCTATACATGTCTACCAACTGTTAGCATTTCATCCCATGGCCTCATTGTTTGCATTTTCTCTCTCTCCCTCCTTTGTCTCTCTCAATCGCTATCCCCTCTTACAGCCCTTTCCGACCCAGCGTAGGTTTTTCTGAGCCTTTGGAGGGGGTCCCCACATATCTCCCGGGACAGGAACACAGCCGACGCAGGTTGCTTCTTCCTGCCTGTTTCCCGGATCTGGGGCTCCTGGGCTCCCACCTCCAGGAACAGGAGGATTCTGGGAGCCCGCAGGAGGCCTTCACAAGACTCCAGAACTTCAGTCCCTTCCTGGCTGTATTTATTTTGTGGCTGCCTTTATGTTTCCATGTGGGAAAACCCAGCTGTGGGCTCCTCTCCAAGGTCAGCTGGAGGACAGCGTGGAAGGGCTGCCCCCCAAGAGCAGAGCAGGGGGCTGGAAACTTGCCCACAGATGGTCCCTGCCCTGTGCCCGCACAGACCTGTCACCTGGAATGGCCCGATTCCAGCGGGAGGGTTGGGATAGAAGTCTGATCCCAAAAGGCCTGGCCTGTAGTCCACCCAGCAAGCAAGGATTGGGCAAACACAGAAGCGTGTGACTCCAGAACCTGGAGGGAAGTTGGAGGCAGGGCAAGCCCAGAGGCGAAGTGGAGTAGACACGGACTGAAGGTCCTGGAGGAGACCAAGTCCAGCACACTGAGCGCCTGAGCGCCGAGGGGCAGGAGCAGGAGGGGAGGAGGGGAGGGAGCAGGTGACAGGACAGCCCACGGGCAGAGCCCTGCCACAGCTCCTCCAGCTCCCCAGCTAGGGTCTGGACCCTCTGGCGTCCCCGCTCAGCTCTGCCCTCCCCAACGGCCTCTCTGAAGCTCCCCCACCCTCACCTGAGCAAGCGCATGCGCAGTGAACCCTGAGAGCCTTTAGAGTCCTCAGGGGCCCAGCCCCGCAACCTCCCTTCATCCTGCTAGGCATGGGCTCCTGGAGACGCTCTCCCCGCCCTAGGCCGGGGGGTCTGCCTCATACACGCCCCACGGTCCGCCGGGGTCCTTCACAGAGTTCAGCTCACCTCCAAATGCCCGCCTCCCTGCACCCCCAGCCCCAGGGGACCCCGAGGGCGGGGAAGGTTGGGGGCTCTGGGACCCCAGGTTGTATGGCACATAGTAGGTTCTGAGTAACTACACAGTGAGTAGGTGGAAGAGTGGGTGAATGATTAAAGTCCTGGCTTTTACCTTTCGGGTGGGAAGTCCATTTTGTAGCCGTGGCTAAGGAACTTTGAGAAAAAGTACACAGGAAATTAGATGTCATGTTCCTTGGGATGCGAATCTTCCCACTTCTCCAACCCTCGGGAAACCCTCCAACACCCACAGATGTCTCGAGAGTAGAGGCTTTCGGTGGAAATGCAAGGAAGGGCTGGATCTCTCATAGGACTCTGCCCCCCTCCCCCCAAAAAAGGTGGCCACAGACTCTGAGTGGACCTCAGAGCCAAAAGTAGGTGTATTTTGAGGTCACATCGGAGGTGACTATGACAAGAGCTGCAGACACTGCACAGGCAGCTTTGGATTCTGTTGAGTGTAGAAGGGGGGCTGAAAGGATGTCCTTTTGGGGTGCAGGGAGATGGCAGCTGATGTTTGGTTCCATTTCTATGCCCCACAGGAGCTGTCTGCAAACATTTGATGACAAAGCAAATGAATAAACAAATGGTCGAGGGGTGGCCTGGTTTGCTGGACGTCTGCTCCTGCAAGTTTTCTTTTTCCCGTTCAAAAAGAAAAGAAAGAGACGATGGCAAACACAGAGACCGCATTTATACCTCCAAAGCCAGTGTAGTGCTCCAACACAGTCTGGCTGGGTCTAAGGAAAATAGAAAGTTTTTTGAAAACAAAGTGCAGAGAATGCTCTGGGTAGAGAAACCTGCCCAAGGAGGGGCAGGGCTTGCTCCAAGGACGTGGTCAGGACAGGCTCTGCAGCTGCTCTGCTTGACCTTGGGGACAGCAGCTCCTTGGAGAAGCAGACACCCTTAGGCCACCTGAGGGAAGCAGCCCCCTTGCACCCTCCAAGAGCAAGGACCAGCTCGGGGCAGTGCAGGAACCCAAGGTCTGCACGCCTGCCACGAGGCTCCATTCTCTGGCAGTACTCAATATGCACTTGGAAAAAAATCAAAAGAAAAGGCCCAGGAATGAAAGGGATGGAATGAATTATCCAGCAGATCAGACGCTCCACTTTAAGCCCAGGACCTTGCGGAGTCTTTCGTGAAATCTTACAAGCAACATAAACAGAGTGGCGGCCAAGCTCACCACCAGAAATATTCAATAATAAAACACAGCTGTCGGTCCTGGCACTTCGCAAGCCGACTTTGTCATTCTTGCCATTAGAAATGCTGACAAAGACAGAAACTGCAGAATGAAAGCCAGTTTTCCTCTCCACCCCAAAGAGAGAGGTTTTTGTGAACTGCAGTCTAAATATTCGCTTAAATCTTGAGCTATCCACAAAAAATAATTTAAAACAGAATTTCTTCTTGGAAACTCATTCTGACCAAGCGCTTGCAAGAGACCTTGGTTGATTCTGATGAGGGTAGCGGCTTTGATTTCGAATCTGTGTCTTGATTATTGAGTTGCCCTGGTGTCCCTCTCCCTGGCTCTCGGTGAGGGTCATCAAGCAGGCGACTTCGTAGCTGACCCCACTGTGAGATGGGATCGACACATTACTGGCAGCTGAGGCTGGCTGGTGCTGTTGAGACTTTATAATAATAAAACATTATAATCATTATGTCCAAAGAGACGGAAGAAGAGAAACATCTGGAGCTGCAAGCCTATCCCCTGGCATCAAAGCATCCCTCTCCCTGGGGTCCCAACTGTGGCAGTGGAGATTTTGCTTACAAAAATAAAGCTTTTCAGAGCTGGACAAGGAGGGAAGGAAGCCAAAGGGCATTAGTTCTAGGCCAGTCTGTGTTCTGAGGCTTTCCTCGTTGGGAACACACACACAGTTCGAGACTAACATCAAACCCGGGCCTCTGCTGCATGGATGGAGGAAGCAAAGGTGGGAGATAAGCACGTAGACAAAGGAAAATTGGAGCACCGCTGGGAGGGAAGGCCCGGCATTGACTGGGGGGAACATGCAGGCTGGGTTGTTAGGGGTGGTCAGGAGTTTTCCAGGCCAACTGGAACCAGCCACAGCATCTCAAAGGCCTCGAGAGCCTGTCTGGTGGTTCAAAAGCTCTGAGAAGACACTGATGTAAGAGGTCATACCCTGCTTCTGTGCATGTGGCCCTGCTGGTGCTGGGCTGTGCAGTGCCCAGCCGGACCTGTGGCACTGGCACGGCCTCCCTGTGGCACCCTCCTCTTCCTCACCCTATGGTCTCTGCGGTGCTCATCTCAGCGGCAGCCTTGGGCATGGTGTTGGTGAGGAAGCAGCCTCAGGCTCTGAGGCGAGCACTGGGGCTGGTCTTCCCATGGCACTCGCTGTGTCCCCATGCCACTGCTGCCCATCACCCAGCCGCTTTGGGGTCAGCTGCTTTCTGTTTCCAATAAAGGGAGTCCAGGGTTACCAGCTCATCTGAAATCAGAGGCGGCCTCAGAACAGGGGTACGGTGCACCACCCAGTGGGCTGCAGTGTTCTGGCCTCAGGCAGCTGCAGCAGCACCTACCTGGCAGGGCTGGCGCTTTACCAGGGCAGAGAGATCCTTCTCAGGAGGAGACCTCATGAGCTCGTCCAGGACACAGGGCCAGCAGACAGTGCCCAGCCCTTCCTTCCCCAAAGAATGGATGCTTCTTACTAAGCTGTGAGTCTTGGTTCAAATCCTGCCAAACCCAAAGATTTCAGGCTGAAAAACTATCTTAAATTCACAAATGACACATTAAAAATTCTTTTTGAATGGTTTATCTTGTTAAAGTAATGCTGAGGACTTTGTGGGCCCTTGAGCATGCTCTAGATCTTCATTGGGTGGCAGCTAATGAAGTCAAAAGTTGCTGACCTGTAGACTTAAGATGTGGACATTTAATTATGTGTAAATTTCAACCTTCTCCCTGAAGGAAGAGCTTCCGGCCCTGGTAGGCAACAAGCCCTGTGAAGCAGATGCTGCTGCATCCGGGACCCCTGTACCCTGATCCAGTCCCCTGCCCAGAGTCCCCTCCTTCCCACAGTCCCAAAAGAAAGAAAAAGATCACCATGTCCTGGCACCACGGTGGCTAAACATAGTCAAGTCGTGGAATTCAGCCTGAAGCGGCCCCGCTCTGGGTCCAGACGTGGCTCTTGCCTTTGCTGTTCTTGTTGCCTGCTGTTTGCTAAGTGTGAATTAAAGATGCCAGACAAAAAGATAGCCTTGCTGCCCTGAGCACGAAGACAGTGACATTGGCCAACCAAGGGGAGGACACTGGACTTGAAAAGATCAATTTCCCTGCCAGTGAGGAGGAACTGTCATCCCTTTTTTGCCTTCTGATTCTGTATTTATTCCTGCTTCACCCTTAACTCCGAGGCGAGTGACGCAGTAATAATGGAACTGTTCAGATGGCAGCTTATCCGGAGCCATCAGCTCCTTCGCACTACACCGCCAGTGCGATGCAGTAATCAAATGCAGAGCGCCTTATCTTCCAGAGATAGAGGCCATCATCAGCGGAGAGGAGACACGGCGGTGACTCCCAGCTCCTGGCTTCTTTTTGTCTCCCTGGTGCTTGAACTTGCTCTGAGAAAAGGGGGCTCTGTGGCTGGAGGTCTCTGGGCAGTGGCAGGACAGCTTCCTCCTTCCATCCGAGTGTGACGGGCACTCAGGAAAGTGCAGAGACCCTCGGAGGCACAAGGGTGGCACGAGGCCCACCTGCCCTCCAGCGTCTCACCTTCCAGCACTGTGAAGGGTAAATGAGGCACTCGCTAGTGAGGGCCTCTCCCTGCTTCTGCGTTTTCAGTTAAGCCAATAATATACTGCTTAAAAACAAAATGAGGTGCATTATCTCTCTGTCACAGAGGTGGGTTTCCCTGGGGACACGGCCAGAGCGGGAGGTTCCCCAAGCCCACCTGAGTCACGCTGAGCAATTTCAGTCTCTTGATGCACTGTACCCCGGGATGGGGCAGGGCACGGGCAATAGCTTTGTCTTTTCCTTAAACCTTTTAAGTACATTTTTTATCACATTGGAGAAAAGGAATGCAGAGCCCAGGACAGAGAAGTTTCTCTTTGCTTCTCAGCCTGCTTCAGCTGTAACACCATGGCTGCCTCCTCCCCATGGCCCTTATTTGTGTCAGTTACCCTGGATCCCCCCGGAGAAACTACCCAAGTAGAGATCCCTGCTTGCCTTTTGAGACCTCGTGGGTTGTGTCATGGAGAACCAGTGACTCCTAACTCTGGGTTCACAAACGTGTACTGTGCACTAACTGTGTGCTGAGCAATCAACACAGCCAGCCCTTTCCGCCTCTGATCACTGCTAAGAGCGCCCCGCCCCCCATGTACCGGTGCATTTCATCTTTCCAGCAGCTCTGGCTGGTGCAGATTATCTCACTTGGACAGAAGAGGAAACTGAGGGGAGCAGGGGTGAGGCAAGTTCCCTACAGTCACAGCAGTCCTGAGCGGGAGAGGCAAGTTTCCACCCTGTCGGTCTGGCTGCAATCCAGCTCTCACTGCCGAACAGGGACATGGGACGAAGAGTGGGCCTGGATTTCTAGATGGGTCTGATGGAGGCAGAGACCCTACCCGGAGCAGACAGGGGCAACACAGCCCACTGGAGGCGCCCGTCCTGGAAACACAGCTTCTCACAGCTACTGTGTTCTTCCATAAAAGGAAGCCATATTTTCAGGGAGAACCGAGTGTGGCTGGCTAGAGCCGCCCAATCAGAAGTTGTAACCAAGTTGTTGTAATTCAAACTCGGATGTCGATTTCAACCCCTGTCTCACGACTATTTTGAGCCCAGGAAAGCCCACAAGTGTGTCTATTCTGAGACAGCGACACAAAAAGATCCAGTTAGAAAAATGTTCAGAGAAACTTGGGAATTATAATTACTCCTACACCCGAGAGCGTTCAGCCGCTCTCATTTTATAAAGTGCTCTGCAGAAATGGCACTTGAATGTTCTGCCCCAGAGGCGGCTGGGGAGGGGAGAGGACAGTATTCTTCCTCAACAGAGGGTTCCCTCAGCACAGAGGCTCAGGATGGGACTGGACCTGGAGCTCCTGGTGAGCAGGTATCACTGGGAAGGAGCGGAGGGGTCCACGGAGGGCCAGAAAGGAGCAAAAGGCAGGGAGAAACAGGGCTCAGTAAGCTGCCACCGAGGCAAGGATGTGTAAAATACCAAGTTTATCTTAAAATAACCGTCCCAGCTGCCATTTAGTGGTATTTATCATATGACCAGGACTGTGCTAAACCTGGGACTCGTGTTAGTCCATTTAATCAGCCTTTAAAATACACCCTATTAGAATCCTTCTTTTACAGTTTGAAAATTTAACGTGGCCAGATTTGAGGACGTCCCTAAGGCCACCCGTAACTCCAGCTCAGGACCCTGACTCCCAAGTCTACTCTTCGGCTGGTAGGCGGCAGGCCCGAGGCTGTGAAGACGATGCTGCTCAGAAAAGGGGTGTCTGCAGGAGCAACCAAGGAAGGAGCCAGAGAGAGGCCACCCTGGATCCCCCCTGGAGGTCTCAGATCCAGGAACGAGTGTCTTCCTCAGGCACACAGGAGAGGAGAGCGCCCTACGGAGACCGAGTCAGAACCTGCGTCTTATGGCCACCTGCCAGGCCAGCCCTTTCTTCACTTAGAAGCAGCAGAGAGACCTTGCCCTGCAGCCTCCAGAGGGAGCTCGGCGCTGCCGTCGGTCGTCTTGATTTGCATTCTGGCCTCTGGAACTTCGAGGAAATGCGTTTTGCTGTTCCAAGCCACTGGATGTGAGGTCATCTGTCCCCTCCTAGTGAGCCCTCCAGCCCAGTGCTCTGGAAGCTGTGACTGAGGGGGTGCAGCCCCAGGCTCAGGAAGAGGAGAATGTCCTGCTCACCCCTGAGGACATCTCGATGGGCCCTCAGGAGCAGACACTGAACGTGAGGATGGTCACACAACTTAGCTCTCCCTGTCCAGAGGGGCCTGGCCGGCCTGTTCCCCAGCTTTCCCAGGTGTGGCCTGGCTCCTACTCCAAGCAGTAAACAGGGCCCTTGGGGCTCTCCGGTGCTGCAGTTCGGTCTGGAATCTCCTGAAGGGCTTGGCTTGGTGGAGCAGACAGCAGAGGAATCTGGGCAGCTGGGAAGCAGAGAGAGACTTTCAGGTGAGCACCAGCACCATCCCCATGTCCTGGGTCAGAGAAGGAAGCTACACGGCCAGTGAATTTCAGAGCAGAGATCCGTGCCCCAGTCTGCAGGTGCAGCGGCTATGCTTTATTATCATTATTTTTTTAATCAAACTGCCCGCTCATAGCTTTAGTAGTCTGTGCCACCCCTGCCCTTGAGATTCTGCAGTGACACAATGGCCCCACTGGACTGGCCCGGCAAACCCTCACCACGCCTTCCCCAGGGCCTTCGCGCATGTCTGGCAGGGTGGATGTCTGCCAAGTCACGTTGACTTGGGCTGTGCTGAGCGACCTGAACAGACTCAGTCTGCATCCTCTTGACTTGAGAGGATTTGGTGCGACTTGATGAAAATCCCCTTGGGGACTGTCTGGGAAATGAGAAAAGTCCACTGGACTCCCCATTACCTGAGATTCTGGCCTCATCCGTCTGCCAGGGTTGGATCTGGGCAGCAGGAAGGCCAGGCCTGGCCAGGACCGCAGAGTACGGAGCAGAGCAGGGCAGCCACATAACTGCCAGGATGCACGTGGGCATCTGTCTCTGAAGTATGGCTGGGGTGGAAGCCGCTTTGGCCACACACAGAGGTGAAGTCAGAGGGCAAGTGAACAGCAAGCCTCACTCAGGCCCAGCCACACCAAGTCACATGACACTGCCTGGTCAGAGCTAAGTGGGAGGAAGACACCGAAGAGCCAGAGCCTTGACTTCCTCTTGGCTCCAAGGTGGGCTGGATGTACATTCTCCAAAGTTTCATTCTTGACCTTGAAGTTTCTTTCAGTATAGTCTCGAAAGGGGCGAGAATGTTTTTGCCACAAAGATCTGGCTGAGTCATATTGACTTACTGTGGGAAGGAGCTTCCGTTCTGAGCCTCTGGCTTCTCCTCACTGGAATGGGAATATTATTGTTGGAATCAGGGAGCATTCCTCAGTGTGCTGCGCCTTTCCTTACCAAGAGAAAATACCAGAGGCAATCTACTTACAAAGAGGGAAAGTTGATACTAGCTCATAGTTTGGGAGGTTTCAGTCCATGGTTTGTTGGCTGTCGTTCTGGGGCCTGTGGCATCATAATGCATCATGGGAGTTCGGCCCTGCGAACATTTTTTTTTGGGTTCTGGCCTCTGGAACTTCGAGTAATTGCATTTTGCTGTTTCAAGCCTCTCGATGTGAGGTCATCTGTCCCCTCCTACTGAGCCCTCCAGCCCATTGCTCTGGAAGCTGTGAGCACATGACAGAGGAAGCTTCTCTCCTATGGAAACTGGGAGCAGAGAGAGAGGAAGGGCCAACTGGACCTCTTCGCAGGCATGCCTCCAATGACCTAACTTCTTTCCACTGGGCCTAACTCCAGAAATCCTTCCAGTAGCACCTGGGCTACTTGTAGAGCCTTTGGGGACAATTCCAGATCCCAACCATAGCACTTGAACACTTAGCATCCCGCTTGGCACGCAGCTGGAACACAAAGTCAGCTGTGTTGCCCTGAGTGGGGGTGTTTCCGCCCCTTGAGGACCACAGAGGGAGGCAAAGTAGAAGGGAGGATGCCGAGCTGAGGCTGTCTCCCACCTCCAGGCCTCCGCTAGCAGGTCAACCCCTTTCTTCACATTGTGGAACCAGCTCACCTAACTGCACCATGGTCTCTCTGGCCATCTGCGTTTAGCAGGCACAAACTCATTTGCTCTTCACAACCTACCATTACTATCTCTACTCTACTGATGACAATGCCAAGCCAAGTGACCAACTGTCCTGGCTTCCCTGGGACTACAGTGTCTTCCTGAGAGGCGGGACTTTCAGTGCTAAAGCTAGACAGTCCTGGGAAAACCAGGACAAGTTGGTCACCCCATCCTGGAGGAATTTACCCCAGGCATAAGTTAGTCCTCAGTAGGTCCAGCATGCAGTTCCGTTGGTGTCTCTGTGGGGATCAGCGGTGACTCAGGAAAACATGGACTTTTCCTACCCATCTCCACCTTCATGCAAACCATTTCCTGAAAACCTGGGCTTGTCCAAGAGGCTCCCAGGCCTCCCAGCTGCCTCATTTCACAACATATGCAAACTGAGGCCTCCCAAGATCCAATAAGTCCCCTGAGGCCTGCGACCACACAGATCTGTACCCATAACTTTAGAACTGCTCAAAAGTATTTGTGAGAATGAGGAACACTGTCACTAAGGTTTCATTTTGGATACAAACATGGTTGCAACCCACAGAGCCATTCTACAAAATTCCCAAACCCAAACCAACTCCAAACAAACAGTGACTGGCACGACAGTGTGCGTCACAGACCTGTCTGGGGAAAATCACTCATCTGAAACTCATAGTCCAACCAAGAGGGGGAGGGGCTGCAAGGACAGGTGATGTGGGACACACGGGGACAGGGAGAGGCAATCCCGGGCACGTTCCTCCACAGATGGCACCTGGCAGCATTTGTAGAAATTGAACCACAACCCTGATAAATGAAACTCACCCACATCCTGTCCAGAGACAGAGGAGGATGACCCTGCCCACACTGAACCAGCACAATGCAGCAGCAAGACCATCTCTGAGGGGTGTGGAGGATGGAGCTAGAAGTGTGTGGGGAGCACATGGCCCATGACTGCAGTGCATGTGACAGTTCCTTTGTTGCTATCATCAGAGGTGAGCAGTGACTGAGGGGAGGGGAAAGTGGGTGCCTCTGCCTGGTCCCCACAAGCAGCTCCACACAGAACTGTATGCAGCGCCCCATCTGAGAGGCCACGGTGTGGGGAATGTCAAGCACATCCCAGAAGGAGGAAGAGGGAGGGTGGCTGCTCCAGCCACCCATGAGGGTATCAGGACAGGGTCTCCCGGGGCCCACCATCCCTCCAGCACCAGCAGGGAAGCATTTATCCTTTCTCCCTGTGCTCTGTTAGCCAAGGGGCATCGTAGGCATCACCTCGACCACATTTCCGGCTCATGCCCTTGGGGTGCCCAGGGTGCAGTGACCACAGGCAGGTGGAGAAGTTGGCTGGCAGGCAGCAGGGTCGAACAGCGGCCAGTGCACCAGTGGGCAAGAATGAAGGAAAGACGGGGCCCGTGATACAAAGAGGGAGGTAAAAATGGGGACGGAAGTGGGAAACCTACAGGGAAGGGACATTAGCCCCCGCCAGGGCTCCTGGCTGTGACCATGTAGGGTGGACTGAGCCCTTGCTATATCCCAGACCTCCAACTTACATCTCAGTCGGATCCACGTCACTCATCAGGCCCACTGCAGAATGGAAACATGAAGCCTTTCACTTCCAAGTCACTAAGATTCCCATGACAGGGTCAGTAGAACATGGATCCTTGGGACATGCACCCGTGAGGCCAGCCCGAGCTGATGCTGCCATGGCCGAGAGAGGCGGCCAGTCTCCGTACCACTGGGAGGTGGGTGGTTTCGAACTCAAATCCAGTTCTGTCTGACCATGAAGTCCATGCCCTGAACCAAGTTTGGGCTCCAGTCTGAAGAAGATATGTGGCCTCCATCCCAGCCGTAGGCCACAATCTCGGGGCTAGGTTTGACTCTCACTCATAGCACTACATGCAGGGCTGGCTGCCAAACCCAGTGGCACACTTCTGACAGCACTGGCTTCCCCATGCGGCTTCCTTACCGTGCCTCTCCATCCACAGGGTCCTGCTCCCAGAGAAGACACATGACCAGGCTTAGCCTATAAGGGATCTTCATCCTTCTCATCTTCCTAGCTCTAGTAATTGGCTCATGGAAGGGCATGTGATCCCAGCCCAGCCAATGAAAGGTAGGCACAGAAGATGTCAAGAGAAATTCGGCAAAGTGATGTACTCTCCCTACTGGGGAGGTGAGGATACAGGAATATAAACTGGGAGCTCCTGAGTGGCATTGCATGAGAAGCACATGCTTGAGAATAGAACCTATATGGAGGAAAACATAGTTGGAGGGGAGAGAGACATTGCACGAGAGATTGTTAGATCCTCTGCGTCCCACCACGCTTGAGTCTGGCTATGATAGCCCTTAGTAGCATGGGTGGGTACTGACCAGAATCAGTGGGCAGCGAGCTCCTCATGCTCTCAGCTGACAGCAGGGACCACAGAGAACACGTGAAGGGAAAGTGAGGGACCATCTCAGGTGGTGGAAGAGGAGAGGGAGTGGGATGGGCCCGAGGTGAGCAGATGAGGCTGGGGAACTAGAAACAACCGGCAGGGAGGAGGAGGGGTGGGAGGAGACACAGATGCCCCAAAAGAGGAGGTGAGGAAGGAAACCAACATCGGTGGGGAAGCGAAATGTCAAGGAACAAGTTCGCTCTCTTCCCAACACCCGCTCTGCAGGCAGGTGATTTCCCTGCTCAGAGGACATTTCGTTTAGATATTTTTTTCTTTCATCAGCAAACTGTCAAAATTGCAGATGCCTGGCATGAAGGAGAAGTCAGATTCTTCAGTCCCTTCTGGATTTTGTTTTTTCTGATGATAAAATTTCCTGGCTGTGTCTCTCTGCCACATCCTCAAAGGGAAGTTTTATTTTCTTCGGGGCAAACATGTCAAGTTTGATTAACCTGCAATAAGACAGTGTTGTCAAGAGTCACCATGATGCAAATTAGGAAATATCTTTGCGGGGTTCCTTTGGGTATATCTCCTTCCCTGGGGTTCTGTGGGTCATAATTGCTTTTCTTTCTCCTAAAGGAAGAGCAGTGTGGGTTTCGGCATTTTGGCCAGGGATGGAGATACCTTGGGCTTCTACAGATGATATATATATGCCTCATCATGGAGAGGGAGGTGCTGGAGAATGGACCCTGTGAGCATCACACTGAACCGTGAATGTCCAACTGAAATGCCCCTGCTCATCGGTGCCAGCTGCACAGTTCCATGCATGTGCCCTCCAGCCAGTCCCCAAGTCAGGCAATGGGACGCCTCCACCCCACAGAGCTCCCTCTGTGCCCAGAAATGGGCCCTCACTGCTTCGACCCCTGCCGTCCTGTTGGGCTCATCTCCCTGCCCCCAGGTCTAGAGCAATCAAATAAGCACAGATGCGAGGGCTCAGCCTTCTTCAGCATCACCTTTTCCTGCTCTCCCTGCCCCACGGTGGGTCCTACCTGCTCTCGGCCCATTTCACACACAAGCAGCCTCAGTCACATGCTCGAGGTCACTCTGCGTGGCATGGAGTGCAGATGAGCTCATCTACTTCCTCACTGACCAGCCACCTCCTCCGGTTAGTGTCGAGTGCACTGGGGCATGACATGTCTCAGTGCAGACCGCCCAAGCCTCGGAGGAGAGCCTGACCCAGTGCTTTCCAATTGGTGCCTTAGCACGCAGCTTGGGGCTGTTATTGACTGAGGGATGCTGGGACTGAGAGATCCATTGCCCAAGTGGATCATCACCTACTGGACACGAGATGGGTACACTGGGTAGCAGTGCAGAGAGGGATTCCCTAGACAAAGCCAGTGGCCATGAGCTGCCTTATTTGGGCTGGGGCCAGGTGGCTCATCAGGCAGTAATTCCGGCCAGAGCAAGCAGGGTGAGGTGTGAGAACAGGCAGGAGAGGGAAGGGAGAGGATGACATTGTGTGTCAGGAGCAGCTTCCCTCCGAGCAGTGGAGTGAATGTGCAGAAGCCCCTGGGGATGGTCCCGCTGAGGCCGGGAAGCCGGGTCTTCACCCCTCTCTCCCACCATACATGGCCAAGCGCCGCCCCCAGCCCTGCAGCTTGTCCCTGCTGCCACTTCTGTGCACGAGCAAGCCCCGTGGAGCAGAGGGGGGCTGAGGGGAGGCCCCATTACAGGTAAGGGTAGGGGCAGCAAAGGGTCCAGTGGCAGCAGCTTCTGCCCCAGACTCGAGAAGGGGACGGTGAAATGGGCAGTGCTTCGAGGGCTTGTGAGGTGCCAGGCTCCATTCTAAGTAGTTTCTCCCTCATTCCTTCAACACTCACAATAACTCCCAGGTAATTTACCATACAAGTAAGGGGACTGAGGCACCAAAGGTTATTCCCTCATCCAAGGCCACTCGCTGGCAGGTAATGGATGGGGACAAGCTCTGGCAGCGTGCATTCTGAGCTCATAATCAGGGCCTGGGCCAGGGTGAGGCAAGGAAGGCACTGGATAGGAAATTCAGGGCGGCGTTGAGCTCAGCTCCTGCCTCAGCCTGGGCTCCATTCGGTGCAAACTGCTGACGGGGACTGGCTTTCCGACATTGCCTCCCAGGCCTCCTGCCAACCCGTGCTGAGCGAAGCTCCCGCCCGGCCTTGAGGCTGACCTGCAGTCACCTGCCCTCGCATGCAGAAGGCTCCGGATCACGGGGCCCTTCCGCAGCAAGTTCATGCAAGGGACCATTTGTGCCTTTGATGTGAGCTTGTCAGGGGGCTGTGAGTAACTGGCCATAAACTGCATTACAACCTGATTACAAAACGCATTCCCAAGACATCCAGTTTCTTCTCCAACACGTAAAGTGCTTGGAAATCATCATTCTTGTCCTGACAACAACAACAACAACAAAAAAGCCAAACAAACTGAAATCAACAACTCCTCTTAGCTGCCATAGAGAATTGAGGTCACAAGGCAGATGGCCATCCCCAAAGCCTGGGAGACGGTAAGGTGATACAGAGAATTACAGTCCACTGGGATCAGAGTTGCTGGAACTTCTGACAGGTAGGGACACTTACACGGTGGTGGACGGATCAGCACAGTGCCAGGGTGGGGTACCAGCATGCGAGAAGAACTCCAGGCTGCCGGGTCTCCCAAGTGCCCCATGTGTCTAGAAGTTTCCTTTCAGGGGACCACTGGATCCTCAGGAAATTCCCCTTATGCTTCCAGCAGGCTGAAAGAAAAAGTAAGCACTTTAAATATATCTGGAACATTCTGTTTTCCTTAAGAAAGACAGATGATAGATGGAAAAGGAGATAGATGGTAGGTAAAAGATAAGCAGATAGATAGATGATAGATATAGATAGATAGATAGATAGATAGATAGATAGATAGATAGATAGATAGATGTGATAGAAGGAAGGAAGATGAAGGATGGATGGCTGGATGGAGACGTGAGACCAGCCTCAGAGAAGAGTCAGGTGAGGCCAATTTCCTGGTCACACACGACTAAGTGACAGCCTACCCTCCAGCTTCCCAGTTCCTGATACCTTATTTGTAAACCCCACCATGTCTGATTTCAGTAGTTTATGTGATTTCCAGTTGCTTGTGACTGAACCTGCTTTGATTACATCCACAGAGTGCAAACAACAAGCGAAACATACATGGAGTGCACTGGAGACATCCACGCTAGCGATGTGGGTGTCCGCCCAGGAGGAGCCAGCTCACCTCCTCCAAGGCTCGCCTCTTCTCACAAGCTTCCGTTTGGCTGCTTTCCTCTTGAAGCATTCCCTGAGTCTCCACACCTGAGTATCACTCCTTCTGCTGAAACCCCCAAAACTGACCAGCAACCAGCAAAGCCTTCCGGCGCTGAGGTTTTTAAATGTCAGGATTCTGGAAAAGGTATTTACAGGTGGCATCGGGCTTTGTCACATATTGGGTCCCTTGACAGAGTTTGAGCTCCATGTTGGAAGGCTCCTCAGCCCACTAGCTCACTGCTATATCCCCGAATCCTTGAATGAAGGCTGGGCAGGCAGCAGGAGTTCAATCCATGTGTGAGGAGGACATAGTGCGCGGCAGATTCTGGTGTGTTGATCAGTCTGTGTCCATATGGAATGCTCTGATGGGCAGCAACAGTAACACAAATGATATTATAGCACCTGCTGTGGGTCAGGCACTTTTTGCATCCTTTAATTTTATTGCCCAAATGAAGTCTGAAGCCCCAAATAGCTCAGCTTCCATGCGGAGCTGCCTCTGAAACATGGCTGCCCAGTGACCCTAAGCAAATGAACTTCACTTGAGTCTCTCCAAGAACTTTGCCAGGGTCTATTTCGTACTCACAGCAATGCTGCCACCCACTAAAAACCCCTCCTCTTCTCCTAATCCACAGTGGTTTAGAGCCTGCCACTCATTCATCCCCAGAAATCTCTCAGCCACTTGGGTTTCTCTATTTCATCTCCCCTTTCAGGTGTTGAATACATCCATTTAGCTTCTCTCAGATCTTCTGGTTTCCTTGCTTTGAAACTTTCCACAATAGAGCATAAACATAAATTCCCTCAGAAAGTGTGCAGGGAGGTAACACTTGAAGGGCAAAGATAAGATTCTTTCTAGTAGGTAGAGCAGGAAGACACAAACAGACTGAGCAGTTTCATCTACACTGCCTAGCGAACGTCCTCCAGAGCTGCACCAGGGACACCCAGCTTTCAGCTCGATGTCACAGATGCAGAAATAAGGCTTACAGAGGCTGAGCGACTTGTCCCAGCTAACTCTGCCACAAGCAGAATTAAAACCCAGGTCTCTGGCTCCAAAGTCCACATTCTTTCTTTTGGTACTGGAGATTGAACTCAGGACCTTGCACTTTCGAGGCAGGCGTAGTGCCACTGAGCTATATTCCCAGCCCCAAAGTCCACATTCTTAATTATGACGAACCATTGTTTCTCATGGTGTCTGTTTATTCATCCAAAAAGTATTCATTGGATCTCTAATATGAACAAGGGATTCTTCTAGGTACCAGCAGCAAAGTAAACACAATCTAGAAGCTTGGCAAACCCCACTGTGAATGAAAGCAAAATTAGATCCATCAGAGCTAAAGTTTTTAAAAGAAAATACTAAAAGCAGCCAGAAAAAAAGGTGGATCATGCTCAAGAAACAACAGAGCAGTGACTGACTCCTTGTCAAGAGTGACAGGGGCACAGGGATGAGTGGAGAGCATGGCGATGCAGAAAGAAAAATACTGTGGAATTTAATTGGAAATGAATGACAAACATATAACTATTCCAATTAGCTTGGATACTAAGCAACACAGTTCCAAATAATTCATACATCATCGAAAAAAACCACAAATACTAAAACCATTTTGTATAAATGTAATCAAAATAAAACATATGAGAATCTATGGGGCCAGCTAAAGTAGTATTTAGAGGGTTAGAGACACAGATGGTGAAAAAACCAATGCTCTGAGCTTCTATCTCGGAGCTTCTTAGAAAAAAGGGTGTAAATGAAACCCAAAGAAAGTAGAAGAAAGGAACTAACTCAACTGCTGTGAGGGAATGGGTTAAAAACAAAATAAATTCATTACAGAACTAAGAAGTAAATGTTCAATAACAGAGGACAGAATAGATAGGACTAGAATCAAACTCTTGGCATAAAGAAAAGGCCTGAGATGAAATGAATAAACCCGAAAAAGAAAAAAAAAAGTAAAACTAAGCAAAACCAATACCTGGAAGGCTATAACAGTATAAGTTTTTTTGGTTTTGGTTTTGTTTTTTGGTTCCAGGGATCTAACTCGGGTCCTTGAGTCTGCGTAGCAGGCGGCAAAACCAGCAAGCTAAAGCCCAGGCCCAGTATAGGGTTTTTTTGAGTGTTCTTGAATGAAAAATCTCAATAATAATAAGATATTTTAAAAATATATTAAACAGGAAGATTTCTCTGAAATGAAGAAAAGTCTCTGAAAGTTTAAATTAGGGGAAAAAGAGCATTGTGTTCCAAGAAAAAAAAAAAAACCTAAAGTACTCCACATTGAGACATATGCTAGTGGAATGATTGAAATTAAAGGATAGGAACTTTCTCAAACATTCAAGCAGGAAATAAAAATCATCAAAAAGCAGGGACAAGGAAGCTGTCCCCAGACTTTGCTGCAGCAGTATCTAGTGCCAGAAAACAGGCAAAAACAACATCCACAAAGCCCTGAGAGACACACGCGTGACAGGGAAGAGGACAGCCAGTCACAGTGTCCTTCAGACACCAGCACAGCAGGTAGAGACTCCCACGCACACGCAAACATAAGGATGCACACCACGAGGAAAGCTTCCTGCAGAAAGGTTTTTGAAGAACATTGATATAAACTTCTTGACCCTGAAATCAACCAGTAAGGGCTGAATCAAAGAAAGAAGTCAGACCAGACATACGCCAGCCTTGCCCCCAGCAATTCTTCTACCGTGATCTGCCTGATAGCAACAGGCCATCAGTCCAGCCTTAGAGCTGTACCCAAACACTCAGACCAGTTTCGCTCATTACTGGTGTGGCTGAAGGTGTCCCCTTGATGAGTGTTGGGAGGTGGGACCATTAGGAGCAGATTGGTCATGAGGGCCCCACCTTCATGGACAGACCCACTCTGATGACACAAGAGCTTGAGGCTGTGAGCTCCAACTCTTGCTCCTTCACCCTGTCTTGCCCTTCCACCTTCTGCCGTGGAATAACACAGCAAGAAGGCCCTTGGCAGATGTGGTCCCTTAATCTCGGACTTCTAGCCTCTGCAACAGTGAGCACTTCTGGTCTTTATAAATCTCTCGGTCTCAGGTAGTCTGTCCTAGTTGCACAGAATGGACTAAGCCATTTGTAAGGGTTAACAGCCGGGAAGAACCCAAATGTACACCCGTCAGAAGGGGAATGGGTCGACAGGCAGGGATATGAACAGATTATTGGGCCATGTGGCGATGCGAGTGAATGTCAAAGGGCAAAAGCAATAGATGGTGATACAAGTCAGGACAGAGGTGAGCTCTGGGGTTGGGCCAACTGCAAGGGAGTATGCGTGGCTGGCGGGCTGGAGAAGGTCAGTGCTTGGCCTGGAAGTTGGCTACATGGACACGTGCAGGGAAACTCACAGAGTATTCTTAGGGTATGGTGTGTGGGGTCAGGGAAGGAGGAAGACCATGGGCCCAAGCCGCAGCCCTGGATCGGGGAAGCAAGCCCACAACGGCACAGTCAGAGTGGCTGTTTACCACACGTCTCCGAGAGAACCCACATCTGACCCCAGGATGGCCACAGGATATTAGCGTGGTGAAGAACTTGTCGGGCTCTCTGGGGATGACAGGCCTGAAGAATCAAGCGGGGTGGACACTTGGCTGCAGAAGAACCCACAGACCAGGGTCAAACCGGAAGTGCTCACCCCAGAATCCTACAAGCCCCGAGTCCCTGAAGGGAGAAGGTGACACGCAGGTGCGAAGCAGCTCTAGACAGAAAGAACCTAGGTGCCAGGGGCTCGTTTCCTCTCTGCTCTCACTAAGGGCCACAAACTCAGTGGCCTACAACAATGCAAATTGACAATTCTGGAGGTCAGAAGTCTGAAAGGTATTTAACTAGATCAGAGACAAAGTGTAAACAGGGCTGCCTCCCTTCTGGAGGCTCCAGTGGAGAATCATTTCCTTGGCCGGGTCTTAGAGACAACCCGTATTCCTTAGACATGGTCTCACCCCAGCTTCAAAGCCAGCAACTGTACCTAACCTCTGCTTCTCTCACATTCGCTTTCTGTGTCTCTCTCCCTTCTACCTCTTATAAGGACCCTGTGATTATGTAGGCCCTGCCAAGATGAGCTAGGATAATCTTTGTATCTCAGGATCCTTAATTAATCCTATCAGCAAAGTCCCTTTCACAGTGTAAGGTGACATATTCACAGTTTCCGCAGAACCAAAAATAGGAGAGGCCATAACTCTGCCTCTCAAACATAATTCTGCCTCTCAAACCCAGAGACTGAGCCTCTTAGCTGGCTGGGACTTCCTCATTCATTCATTGAAGCACCTGCCTGGGAGGCTTGGTCTTGGACTTCTGATTGGTCCAGTTTTGAGTCATGTGCCCATCCCTGCCCCAATCACAGTGGCTTGATGAGCTGGCCATTCTGATTGGATAGATCAGAGTCGGGTCTCTCGGGAGATGATGTGCAGCCAGAAGTGAGGCTGGGAAATCCTGGTAGGCAACTCAAGACCATCTCATCCAGTGGAGCTATGCTGGCAGGAAAAGACTCCAAGTCCTTCATAACCCTCTTCCCGGGGTCCCCCCTGCCCCAGAAGCTGACTCACCTCACATCACCATTTCCCTTAGCCGGACAGCCAGGCTCACTGCAAAGATCACAAAACCAGCATTCTTCCACCCCGCCCCACCACCTCCACCCGCATAGGTGCCTGTGGCTTCTCCTGCCTGATTCCAGCTCAGCAGAGGAGCCAGGCTGCCAGCTCCTGGCTCCTCTGCTGTCCCTGTGGCCAGTGAGGTGTGAGTGTGAGTTGCTAAAGAGTCTAGCAAGGAAGATGGGCCTTTCTCACCCCTGGTGTCTGGAGACAGTGCTGGCTCTGGAATTTCCCTGGGCACTCAGCCCAGAAGGAAGGAGAGAGAAGAAAGAGAAAGAAAACAAGAGAGCAGCAGTTTGCCACCAGAAAGCCCTGGCCAGCAGGGCCAGAGGTGAGCTCCACTGCCTGGGTCCATAGTTGGGTCCCCTCCCTCCTAGCACGGCCTGCGAGCTGTGTCAGGGCTCTGCTCCCCTCTCTCTCACAGGCTCACAGTGCCCCCCACCCCGCCAGCCACCGAGGGGCGGGCCCATTCCACTGCCCCCAGGCTCCTTCTGCCTACCAGCCTTTGACACTTGTGCCTGTGCCTGGAGGCTTTTCCCACCCCTATCCCTCCTGTTATTATGGTTTAGGTCTAAAACGTCCCCCAAAGTTCTCCTGTGTGCACAAGGTGACAGATCACAAGGGCGCTCTGCTCATCAGCGGCATCCAGCGATGAGCTGCGTAGCTGTGGGGACCGTGAGGAGGTGGGCCTGGCTGGAAGGGGGTCCCTGGGGGCGTAACCTGGAAAGGCCTGTCCTTGTGCCGGGCTCCTTCCTCTGCTCTTTGCTTCCAGTTGTCATGAGATGAGCAGCTGTCCTGTACCCAGGCCCTTCCATCGTGCCCTTCCTGCCTTGGCCCTGGGCAACCACGGCCTGGAACTGTGAGCCACAGTAAACCTCGCCTGTAAGTTATGAGCGATGGATATTTTATCCTAGTAACAAAAGCAACTGTGACACCTTCCCTGGCCAAAATGTACTCATCTGTTGGGTGTCAGAATGAATACGTCTTCTTCCCCCGGGTCACATGAGATGCTCCCGTGATCCCTCTGTGATGTCACAGGACCTCTGCACTTGGAACCTGCCTTTCTACTTATCTATTCCCCCAGTTGGGTCACAAGCCTAGTACAACTCTGTAGGTCCTCCACATGCTGATTCTCTCTCCTGAAGATCCCTCACTTTCAGCCTTTCCAGTGAGGTATGAGGACCCTGTGACCTCACTGCTGGGCAGCCCATCAAGTCCCTGTCCAGTGCGGGGGCCTGGCAGCCAGTGTCACCTGCAGCACTGTGGCTGGCTCTTCTACACCTCTCCTGCCTGTGCCTTCGCCTCCACTGCCTGACACCTGTACCTTCCCCGTAGCATGCTAGCCTCTTAATGCTTGCCTCAGGCCCTGCTTTCTAACGCTTCCCGGCCTCCCCAGGGCAGACACCTCCTACTCATTTTTTTTAATCTGCAGGGGCTGGAGGCAAAATATGCAAGGACTGAATGAATTAATCAATTAATTGCACGTTCATATCGTCTTTCACAGACGGGAAATGAAGACTCGGAGGAGGTAAGCTGTGTGCTCCCCTCTCGGGAGGCTGGGCCCGAAGTGGATCTCATGCTGAGATGGCACCCTTATTCTCCTGAAGCAGCTGAGTGCCTGAGCCCCTCTAGACACTTCAGCAAAGATGTTTTCTCGCCCTGGAGCAGCATCCCTGGAACGCAGAGAGCTGGAGGTAGCAGTTTTCCTCTCTAGGCCTTGCAGCTTTCCTAACAGTAGTAAATTAAATTTGAACTTGAACTATGCAGTCTGTATCCCAGCAGGCATCATTTGGTCACTTTCCTGCAGGCCCTTAGACCTTGACACACTGAGGTTTTCAGTGCCATGAACTTGGAGAGGGGCCCCTGGGACCCCAGATGCAGCTACTGAGGCTCCCTTTGAACTGTGCACCTTAAAAAGGTGAGTCCTAGGTGGGCATGCTGCCATAACTGGGGCCAAAGTGCTGGAGAATTCTCCAGCTGCCATCTGACATCAAGTCCCCTCCATTCTTAGAGGGGCAGCCCAAGGTCCCACCATGCAGGCACAATGAATACACAGCACCTTACCTTCAAAAAGGGACAGTCCTCAAGGCCTCTCCGGTGTGGAAGCAAATCCAGTCCTTCAAACACAACGCAAACAAATGACTTTGGCTCGTCTCAGTGGTGATAACTATGTTTGGGGATAATGCTTTTGTAAGTTTCCCAGGTATGCAGCACAATTCTTCCATTTGCCTGGCTTTTCCCTAATAGTACAACCTAATTAAATATGATTAGTTTCCAAATTGCATTAAGCTGGAGTCCCCACACACAGACACCCCTGAATCTAATTAGAGGCTACCGCAAGCGTCAGAAAAGCCCGCAGACATGACATTACTCCATGAAGCATAATTGTCTGCAGCATTTAATGCTTCAATTCTCCTGGTGATGAGAGGGAAAAAAATATGTGGCAAAAGAAAAAAATTGTGTTTGTCAGCCGCAGTTTGACAACTTTAACAAATAGCTCCGCATCTTAATAGAACAAGTTTCCGGTAGACATTCCAGAAGGCTGAGATTAGAAGGGCTTCGTCGGGCAGGCGGGACGGGCAGCTCCCCACCCCGGCACCCAAGGTGACTTCACGGCATCCGACCTGCTGAAAGGAAGCAGCCAATATTCATGCACACAGCAAATCACATTCATGTCAACCCAAACATCCTGTGAGCTCATGCTAAAAAAATGGTACCAGTTCGGAAATGGAGACAAGATGGGACCAAGAGAGGAGGAAGCCCAGGATGCCCTGCCCCAGACACCCCATTTGCTGGCTGAGATGAACCCAGAGCACAAACGCAACTGAGTCACTCTCCACCACTCATACAGGATTTAATTAGCAGAGGGGCTGAGCCTGGAGAAAGTCTCCCGAGTGTGAAAGAAAAATGAAAGGGAGGGTATGAATCAATGCTTTTCCTACCTAAAGATGAATGAAATGTGCTTTATTTTCTCACTTTTCTGCTCCCTTGGGCTTCCACCAGACCTCCAGCCTTGTCTGTTCTGGTAGGGGCTGGTGACGTCCTCCAGGCCAGAGGCTGCCCGGAGCCCCTGGTCAAGGAAAGCTATGGGGCTGGTGGGGCCGTGCCCACCCCTCCATCTGAAGGCAGGGGTTTGCTTGCTTTGGCTTTTCTGGGCAGGAGCTACTGTAAAAGGAGCTGGCACCGGAAGGGCAGCCCAGGGCCCTGGGGAAGAAGGAATAGTGGGGTGACAGCTGTCTCTGGCCAGGAATCGGTGAGTCATCGGAGGCTGGACTCCTGTGTGTACACAGGCCTGGCCAAGGGCAGCCCAGAGATGAGCCATGAGCTCCCTCCACTGCCACTCAGCGATGCTCAGGGCTCAAGCCTCTGAGGGGTGGGGCAGGGATGGGGTCTCTGGGGCATCTGGGGACAGAGCCGTGGCATGGACAGACTCCTTGCCACAATGCTGTCACTGAGACGTTATTAGTGGCACACTGATACGTGCCAGCAGCTCCCCAGACAGTGGAGGGGACTTGTGGCCAGAGTCGAGGAGGAGGAGGACAGATGCTGTGGGGTGATGGCTTAGCCATTCTTGTGGCATGAGACCTCAATGAGACAGGCTCAGAGACTGCTGGGGGCCCTGGCAAGGAGCTGGGCCGCTGTCCTTCAGGCAGCCCAGTGGCACACAGGGCTCAGTGCATCGGGCTTCAGAGGCACACAGGACCTCTGTGTGGAGCTGCGGCTGCTGTGAGGACTGAGGGCAGGATGCTAGTCCTATGGGGGCCCTGAAGGGGGCTTAGGTTTGGGTCCTGCCTATGCTTGGCCTTAGCTCTATGATTTGGGTCAAGCGGCTTACCCTCTCTGTGCCTCAGTTTCCTAGGCTGTGACAGGGCCCTCAGTGAGTGCGTGTGGTGTCCAAGGCCCTGCAGCCCACGAGTCCTCCCGGGCTTCACCTGGATGGAACAGACCCCTCCCCCGGCTCAGGTCTTCTGGCCCTTCTCACTGCTCATCACTTCAGCACTGTGTTCACACCGGTTTCTCTGCGGCCCCAAGAGTCTTCCTGGGGAAAAGACATCACCATCCCTGTCCTGCTCATGGCTGGGTCCCAGGACAGGCTCTGGCCTGGAGCAGGCACCAAGAGTGAATGGGCAGATGCTCTTGTGTTCATCCTGGCTTCTCAGCAGCAGGAGCGCCTGCAAAGGAGGCCTGGGCCATCCCTCCGGGCCACGCTCAGGGGCTGCCTGCTGGTCCCGGACACAGCGACAGACACAGCTCTGCGGAGGCCTCGTGGATGCGACGGCAATGCCAGACATGCAGGCAGCAACCCAGACAGGCGCCCACGCTTGAAGCCCTCAGTGGGTGTCATTTCCTGCCAACCAGCGGCGGCTGGGCTTCTACATGCTGCAAAGCCAGCATGGCTCTGCAGTCCTTCCTACAGAGCTCTGCTTCAGGCTCTCTGAGAAGCCCGGTTCCCCGAGAGATGCTCTCCAGGCCCCCGAGCTCCAGAGTGAGAGGAGCAGCCCAGCAGCCAGGAGTGGAGAGGCTGGCAGAAGTGAGCCCTTCCTGCCTGCCTGCCTTCCAGCTGTGCACACGGCGCTAGAGAAGTGGCTGCCTCCGGAGACTGGGCTGGCACCTTCATGAGTTTCCAAAATGTTTGGCTGGAAACACGGGGAGCAGAGCCCTACTGTGATACCAAAGAAAGCTAAGCTGCTGGGCACGTTCCTGCCGCTGATTTCCTGTGTTCCAGGAAGAGCCGCCTCCTTCAGCTCACAAGCCCCATCCTGAAGACCTTGGCCTTGCTGGAGAGGGCTGCCCAGGGCTGGCTGCACCAACTGACCCTCAGGCTTCTCCGCTGTCACTTTTGATTGATCAGAAGTGATTGCACATTCCCACCTCACTGCTTATCGCAAGGGCAGCAATGTGGCATGCCATAAACCTGGCTTCCTTTCCCAAGCTGAGCTGTTTTCCCTCTCTCTGTAAGAAGTCCTGTCTCTTTTAGAACCTCTGGCTCTTTCATTTCCACCACCCTCTCCCCTCATTCTCCAATCTTGCTGCTCCTGGGCCCTGGGAGAGTTTCCGGCCACCTTAGCCTGGGGCAGGGTTCCTAAGGGACATAGTCATTGGTGAAGGTCGCCTACCTACTACTCCTGTCTAGTGAGGGCCTGGGGAGAAGAGAGAACCAGAGGCCAACCCATCCCAGCCGCTCATTCGCTGTGTGCCTTCAAAGAAGCCACTTCACCATGCTGGTTCTCAGTTTCCTCTGTAAGAAAACAGCTGTCAGCATAGTGACTCCTGGGCTGAAGGGTCCCTCACCTTTGTGTTCCTTGATGGCTAAAATGGGCCAACAGTGGGCCCCTCCTGAGCCAACCCTGCCAGCCACTTCCTGGCTCTTCGGTGCTCACTGAAGCTGCGTTTGTCAGGAGTGATGGAGTCCGAGGGTACCAGCTCACAGGAAGAGAGGACGGTCCCGGGAATGCACCAGGAAGGGCTGCAAGAGAGGGTTTTTAAAATGCTGGGGAGGTTCCAAAATCTCAGAGAAGGGCATGAGAGGAAGGAAGAGACAGGGGTGTGCCCTAGCCCGGCTTCGGATGGGGCTGGATCCCGAAGACCCTCGGCCTGGGCCCTGGCGCCGAGCTTCGAGTGCGTGTAGCCGTGTGGCCCAGAAGTGTGCAGGAGCCGGAAGATAGCAGGGCAGCCAGCAGAGCCTCGGGACCCTCCTCTCGTTGCAGTGCTAGGAGGGAACCAGGGAGCCAGGAGCAGGCAAAAGCCTGTTCTGGGAAACATTTAGCACACAACCGCAGCTGAGCAGAGCGGCAGCCTCAGGAGGACTTCCCCACGCTTCTCGGGCTGGCCAGAACGCCACCGATGTGGGCCAATAGGAGGGGGCAGAACCCAGGCGGGTCCCTGAGTCCTCCAAGATGATAGACAGAAAGCCCTGCCCTATGGAAACACAGAGGGAAGCAAACCGGAGGGGTAGTTCTGTCTTCCATCTGTGTGGTCTTGGGCAGGTCACCTCCTCTCTCTGTGCCCTGTAAAAAGTATAAAACACAGGACCAAAAGGCTTCTTGGGGTTGTGTCATTGTTAGAGTACATGATTCTAAGTCTCCCTGAGTCTGACTTTATTCTCTCTGAAACTCTGAAAGGATGGCACAGCGAAGAGAAAGATTGCATTCAAATCCCTCAGGCTTTCAAAGGCCACAGATCCTGAGAGGGCTGAGTCTGTCAGTTTGTAGCAATGGAAAAATCCAGCTCACAGTGTCTTGAGCCCTGGGAGGTCAAGGTCTGGGTTCCAGGCGTGGTGGTACCCAGGGACAGACAGGATGTGCGGTCTTGTTTGCTCTCGTGGTGGTGAATGAACACTGGAGCCTCCAGTCTGACACCTCCTCCGTCCCCCCTGCAGCCCCTAAGGAAGGAAGAGAGCTTTCCCTTCTTGTTGGGACCCACAAGGTTCCCAGGATCGCTTTGGATTTGCCAGCCTTATTCGCAGGGCCCTGGCTAAGCAATCACTGAGTTCCAGCCTGACGTTCGGCCCACCCTTTGCGGGGAGTGTGACCCTCGGTGAGTGATTCAGTGATTCAGCTGCATCTGTTCCTCGAAGCAGCTGGACCAATGCCATAAACCGTGTGGCTGAAGACCACGCCTATGAGCCCCGTCGGGAAAGGTATGCTGGGTTTCCAGGCAAGATGTCAGCTGGGTCCGCTCCCTCCGGAAGCCCCCGACCCCTCCCCACACCAAGCAGCGGAGCACCTTCCTTCCACCACGCTCAAAGCGAGCAATGTGGCGTCTTTCTCACCGGTTGCACCGCAGCTCCCCCAACGCTGCCTTCCCTTCCTCTGTGTGATCTGGGGGTGCTGCTCCCCAGAGGGTCATCCTGAGGCTGTGGGGAGAAAATGCAGTCCTGAGCTCAAAACCCATGCACAGCAGGTGGTGAAAGAGCAGACAGTGCTGGCCAGGCTCCAAAGGACCCTGGCTGTTTCAGAAGAAGAGCAGCATTCAGTTTGGACAATTAGATAACAGAACCAACTCAAACTGGGCCTCAGAGCCTGCGACCTGCAATTGTGGTGTGGACCACTTTGCTCTGCCGTGATAAGGTACACAGTGTGAATTCTACCAGACCCCATGGCCTAAAGGGCTCAGAAAAGGAGGACAAAGTCTGTAGGGTCTGGGAGAGGGTGGAAACTGGGTTACAAAGACACTGGTGTTACTGATGCCTCACCCACACACATCATAGATTCCTTTTGGAAATAAAGTAATGGAGCATATGGTAGCTTGAGGCTTCAAGGGCATGTGGCATACAGTA